AACTTTAGTACGCGGAGCAATCTGTGGAGCTGGAAGCTGAGAACTGGTGACTTTGCAGTGCAACTTTAGTACGTGGATGAGTCATCTCTCGCGGCTGAGTCACCTCTCGCAGCTGCTCTGGCGCCCCTGCAGCTGAGTCATGTCTCCCGACCACCCGGCTCTCTTAAAAGGTTGACACACACACACACAGAGACCCACGCACTGCCTCAACTTACTGGGAGACACACACAGACAGAGACTCATACACACACAGACATAGATACACACACACACAGAGACCCACACACTGCCTCAACTCACTCGACTTAACACTTCACACTGAACACTTAACAGATAACTCACACTCTGACTTCCTACGTGATGAAAAATGCTTTCGGGCCACTCGTCGTCTAGTTAAGTGGCTAGTAAACCTCTGGCGCGCCAATATTGGTGCTATGTGTACAAAGTCGTTGCACTAAAATCGTTTCATGTAAGGGATACAGAGCGCCGATAGCGGCGCAGTGTGTGTGTGTGTGTTAACACCTGTCTCTAAGGTTTGTACCTGGTAAGTCTGCCGTAGGTTCCACTAGATGGCTGGGCGCTACTAGTAGCTTCTGGCCTATACTACAAGGAACCAAACTGAAAAAACACAGCGCGAGTCAAAAAGGAGATCAGGGACGTTTGGCTTGGCCTGATCCAACGAAGCTCCAGCCATTCGTCAGGATATTCTCGAGGGACGCCTTGAGAACGTACCTGCAAAGCCTGTTGAAACTGTTGAATAGGCTGTCCACTGCAGTGTTTTGCACTGATCGACTAGTGACCTGCGAGCAACCTTGTTCAACATCTACAAGTCTATCGACTCTGCCACCTTTCGGTTTTCGTTCTTTCAGTTCATCAAGTCAAGGGGGACTTCACACTGTGTGTGTGTGCGTGCACCAAATTTGCGGCAATTGCTGATATGAGCTTTGTTCCTCATCAGTCAAAAATTGAGGAACATCAAGCAACACCAAGTTTTTACGTGCTTTTACACTATCGGATGCATACTAGTTAACCCCACGCGTTAACAACTTCACCAGACACAGGAGCGGACAATTGGTGGTTGGTGGTTGATGGTGGTTGGTTGGTGGTTGGTGGTTGGTGGTGGTTGGTTGGTGGTTGGTGGTTGGTGGTTGGTTGGTGGTTGGTGGGTTGGTTGGTGGTTGCTGGTTGGTTGGTGGTTGGCGGTTAGTGGTCAGTGGTGATTGGCTGGCGGTCGGCGGTCGGTTGGTGGTTGGTTGGTGGTTGGTGGTTGGCGGTGGTTGGTGGTTGGTTGGTGGTTGGTCGGTTGCTTGGTTGGTGGTTGGTGGTGGCTGGTTGGTGGTTGGCGGTGGTTGGTGGTGGTTGGTTGGCGGGCGGTGGTGGCGGTGCCAGGGCGTACATCCGACCCCTTGGAGAGCACCGCAAACCGGGAGAGTGGGTGACCCAGCAACGCCAGGGCGACGCCAGGGCGTACATCCGACACCTTAGAGAGCACCCACTACTGCGCCTGCCACGCAAATGACACCGGCAGAGCGGTGGTGAATTAGCAACGCCAGCGCGACGCCGGGGCGTACATCCGACCTCCTGGAGAGCAGGCGCACCCTAGCGCATTGCTTGGGGGGGGCGTTCAATCCTGAGCCACGCTTGTCCTCGGCGTTGGAGGGATCCACCGTATCCCTGGCTGGCGAAGCATGGTTCTTTGACACAGTTCGCCACGCATGCCACTGCGCGACGTTGTTTCTGGGACAGCCCTGCCTGCTCCGTGGAACCACACTGGCAGGAGAGCGATACCATAGATTTGGTGATTGTGCGCATTTTCCATGGTTGGTTCAGAAAAAAGTCAGAGAAGGAGGCCTACCCAAATGCTTCGCCCACCATGGGTGGAGTGGCCTTCCTCTTTCAGTGCGCTCGTTCCAACAAGCCCCGTTCGCGCCGCGTGACCGCGTGACCTGTTTGTTGACGGTTCGTGCGTGAACCCAATGTGCCCCTACACCCGCGTAGCAGGGTGGGGCCTTGTGGCAGCAGACCCGGAAGATCCCATTCAATGGTGGCCTCTTGCCCAGGGCATCGTTCCGGGCAGGAGACAAGTGTTCGGGCAGAGATTTTGGCCGCCACTAGTGCATCCAGATTCTCGATTCGATTCGGCCATCCATTCCGTATCTGGGGCGACAACGCCCAAGTTGTCACGACTTTGCAACTAAGCCCTGCTCGCTCCATACACTTGCCGCCCCAGCCGAAAAGATCAAGACCTGTGGAGCACGTTGATAGAGTTGGCCCGAACAGTACCTCTGTTGTCAGCGCGCAAGATTGCCAGCCACCAATGCAAAGTTGGAATAGACTTCGTGGAACGTTGGGCCTTCACAGGCGATGACCAGGCTGACCATTGCGCTCAATGGAGCGCCCGGTATTGCCAGGTTCTCGTCAAGAAGTGGTGCCAAGCCACCTCCGACCTTGATGCAGCTCGAGTGCTCCGCAACCAGATCCATCTCACGATAATCCAAGTATAAGCGAAGCTGCTGTCACCCGTGACATTCCGGTCGAAGCTTTAGACCCGCTCACCATGGCGTTCCCTTTGCCTTTGACCGAAGCTACCATGGCACCCCTTCCACTCCGTCCACAAACTGCGACACACAAGTTGGTCAGCAGTGGATGGGAAAAGCTTTCGGAATGGAGCAACAGTCTTTTGCAGGCGACAGCAGAGGTGCTGTTCATCCCTTGGCTGTACTTGTACTTAGATTTTGTATTGCACACGGATAGCGGTGGCATTAAGCCGACCAACGCTTACAAAAAGTGGACCTGGCTGTCACGGGATGATGCAGGTCAATATGACTTGGCGTTGCGAGTCAAAAGGTTCCGCCTCATGCTGCTTAGAGTTCATCGGCTTGAGATTAAGATGCAGACTTCCCAATATGCACGACCATCGTCGCATGTCATTTGTTTTTGGGCACGCTGCGTTTGCTGCCGAATGCATCCGCAACGGCTCAAAGCAGTTGAAAACTACCTCCAGAAGTTCAATTCCGCGTTCCTCCTGGGCAAGGACGTGGAGATTGTCACGACCTAGCTCGTGACCTAGGGGTCGTTGGTCACCCCCGCGAAAGCTGCGGTGCCATCGTCTTGCGGAAAAGTGTTAGGTTGGAGGCCATCTCTCTTAGGTTGGAGGCCATTGCTAGTGGGTGGGAGGCCATCTCTACTATAGGTTGGAGGCCATCGCTACTACAGGTTGGAGGCCATCGCTATAAGGTTGGAGGCCATCGCTATTTGGTTGGAGGCCATCGCTATTAGGTTGGAGGCCATTGCTAGTAGCTTGTAGGCCATTAGGTAGTAGGTTGGAGGCCACCGCTATTAGGTTGGAGGCCATTGCTATTTGTTTGGAGGAAATCGCTACTTGGTTGGAGGCCATCGCTACTATAGGTTGGAGGATGTTGGAGGCCATCGCTACTAGGTGGGAGGCCATCGCTCTTAGCTTGGCGGCCATCGCTTGCTATTGGGGATCCCCATGCGGCTGAAAGAACATTGAGCAATCATCGTTGACTCCGACAACGTGACACAAGGTGACACTGCATCTTGAATGTCTGGCGCTTCTTGAATGACACTATTTGCGTCTGGACTCGATGTATCCGCCATTGGGCACCGCCTAGTGGTTGTTCTAAAGAAAACACCAAGACACCATAGTCGGACTTAGCGCCAATTTGAGTTAGAGTACATTGGAAATCGTCAAGCTGGTGTCCTGATCGTTCAGTTGACCGATCGTTTGAAGACGTCTGAACTCTACTTTTGGCTTGTTGATAAAAAGTTGTGTCCTTGCCTATCCGAGAATCCTGGTGAATTGTCTGCATCCAAGGGTCTCAAAGTGTAGAAAGGTGTTCTTTACCTCAAATCACATCACCAAGAGTTTCCAGCATTACTAGTAGCAAGTGCATCGCTACTAGAAACAAAGGCATTACTGGTAGTAGCAAGAAGCTACGAGGAGCTAAGGGCATCGCTACTAGTAACAAGTGCATTGCTACTAGTATCAAGAAGTTAGTAGTAACAAGAAGCTACTAGGGGCTCCTGGCATCGCTACTAGGAGCAAGGACGCTACTAGGGGCTCCTGGCCTTACTACTAGTAGCAAGAAGCTACTGGTAACAACGGCAAAGAACTCTTTTCGAAAGGCATTGCCGAGGTGCTGAGGCAGTGAGCTGTTCATCTTCCAGATCGGGGCAATTCTCCGTGGGAGACTCCTTTCTCTTTTAGGCGTAGGCCGCTAGGAGGTATGTAGTAGTTAGAGGTAGCTAGTAGCTACTGCATACAAGTAGCTACTACATATGGACGCAGCATAGCTCACGCTTCTTCAAGGAAGCTCCCCCCGCCTGAGGGCGGGGGAGAGCTTCCTTGAAGAAGCTCTCGCACCAGTCATGTGGTTCCTAGATTTTTAGGGAAACTTAAGTTCGCCCCTATTACTTGGGTTGGGAGATGAGCCCTGACATATCTTCTAAAAATCAGCGCGATCAAAAACGGAAAACACACGCAAAATTCAAAGCCAAATGCTTGATGGATTTGTCAATACCTTGGTGTATTCATTGCCATGGCACCGAGCACAGCTCTTCCGGCAGCTGCAACGTCGGTACCTGGTCTCTGGAATTTTGGAGAGAAGCCTGAAGATCAGAAGCAAACCAACTTTACTACTATTGGGCTGAAACAACAACTTCTATGGGCGAAACACAATCCTTGCTAGAAATTCCATTTCTTGAATTGGTACATCAAAGTTTCTTGGGAGAGCACAAAAACGGCATTCACTGCGGCAATCAACTCCTCTGCCAAATTCCCAGAAAAGGTATCAGGAGATGCTGCAAAAAAAAACGCGGAAAATGGTCTGGGTGGAAATCATTGGCGAGTGCTAAAAGTTCTTTTGAGCAACAAGCTTCACCAAAAATCGTGTGCAAGTCTTTCGGGCTTGAGGCAAGTGCTTTGGGAGTGATGGGAGTCGCAGAACTTGCTTTTTGCTACAAGTTGGCAAGTTGGCATCTCTTCTCATACTTTGGCCCAGCTGCATTCGAGGACGAAGATTGCGCGCATCTGGGCGTGTCCTCATCCTCCAACAAGCTCTCATGTGGGTGGCTGTGACGCACCAAGCCGGGCTTTACCACCTAGGGATTGGACTGACGGGGGTTAACACTGAGGGCTGGAGAGATGACTTGCCAATGGCCTCCAACCTAATTAGGGTTTCTAGAAATGAGTGACATGAACAACTCAAAACTGCATCAACAGAAAAATAAGAACAGCAACCTTATGTTCGAAAAGGAAGATTTGTCAGACCATGCTAGCATCTGGTATCCACTCCTGCCATTCAGTTTCTTCAAAGGCACTCGCTTTGGTCTGCATTTTTGGAGGTCCCCTTGCGCATGTGCAAAATGGCAATCCTGCAATCGGCAATTTATGGCCCCATGATGCCCCATGGCAGGAACAAGGACACTACTAGGGGCTCCTGGCATCGCTACTAGGAGCAAGGACGCTACTAGGGGCTCCTGGCCGTACTACTAGTAACAGAAGCTAAACAAGAATTCAATTAAAACCATTTAATTAAAACCGTTTAATTAATTCAACAACAATTTTCAGCTCAAAGCTCTCTCTCCTCGCCCGCTGGACATTGGCCGTGGTGGTAGAGGATGCACAATTTCGTCCGCGTCAAATCGGGCTTCTGCTTCAGATGTTCAACTCCATGCGCGAACGAACAAGCACTTCCTGCGTTGCAGTCATGGACGTCCATCCGGCGATGAAAGACATAAAAACGTCAGCATGGCGATGGGCTCAATAGAAAACATGTTAGGTCAGGAAGATGAATCATTCTTATAAAGGAAAATGCTCTAACATGCACTTGTTCTGAGTTGTTTGGGTAAGTCAAATGTAGTTATAAGATGTTATAAGTCATACGAAGTTCATCTTGAAAAGGCGCCCCATCAAGCCTCGATTGCATTTTCCTCGTTCCTGAGTTCATCAGATCATGATTTCACGCCGTCACTTGCAAGGCCAACAGCGGAACACCAAAGAACCAAGGACGCTACTAGGGGCTCCTGGCCTTACTACTAGTAACAAGAAGCTATTAGAAACAAGAAGCTTTGGATATCTTTGGTGTAACATGAACCAAAGAACTTGATTTTCGTCTCAGACTCAACCCAAAACATCCCAAAACCATTGCTAGTATGTTGGAGGCCATTGCTTCTAGGCTGTAGTAGGTTGGAAGCCATCGCTTATAGGTTGGAGCCCATCGCTAGTAGGTTGGAGGCCATCGCTTCTAGGTTGGAGGCCATCGCTAGCAGGTTGGGGCCATCGCTTCTAGGTTGGAGGCCATCGCTAGTAGGTTGGAGGCAATCGCTTCTAGGATCAAGGCCATCGCTACTAGGTTGGAGGCCATTGCTTCTAGGTTGGAGGCCATCGCTAGTAGGTTGGAGGCCATCGCTATAGTATTGTAAGCAGCGGCCTACCACCAAAATCACAAGAACAACAGAAGCTTGTCACTGTTGGCACGAACATCAAGTTGCCTTCAAACAGCCTTGCTAGGCATTGTAGCATCCCTTGCCTCCGTCCCCCGTCACGTGCACCCGATAACACCTATTGCAGGCGAGTGTCGAAGAACTTGCATAGCACAGTGTGCGTAAAAATGTTTTCCGACATGCACTCATAGACACCTAATTGACTCTGACGAAGCCACACTGCAGAGAGCGTTCGATCGATGCAAACTTGCGTGGAGAGCAAAGGCGCATTTTCAGAAACTCTGAATGCACTGCACTACCTGAGAATGTAGAAAGCAAAAGCCAGCAACAGGCCGAGGAAAAATATGTCGTCGGCGGTGCGGCATCAAACTTTTCATTTTTGTCCATATTTGTTCAAAGCAGTGAACAAGTGCGTCGCTACTAGGAACAAGTGCATCGCTACTAGGAGCAAGGGCCTTACTAGTAGTAACAAGAAGCTACTAGTAACAACCAAAGCAGTCAGATGTCGTTTCATGACTCCAACAAGTGAACCTTCAACCGCAACCCATATTGAAATTGCAATTTGTGGCACAAGCCCTCGTCCCCCCCAACTCCCTCACTTCATGCAGCGGTGTCGATGAAAATCAAATCACCCGGTGAAACTCAGGTTGGGAGGACTCAAGACAATTGCGGTGAATGTATTTTGAATCTAAAAATGACTTGCGATGATGTTACCGGCATTCACGTGGCCGCGACGAAACCCTCCTTTTCCCTTTTCTGTTCGGAGCAGGTAGGCACAAAGCCTAGGGCAGATTTGACTGCAAAGCAGAATCGAACTGCAAGTCACCTGTATTGGGCAAAATCTCACGTTCATCAATCAAAAAAATGCACCATCATAACTATAACTATCATAACTATAACCTTGCAAACTAGTAACTTGAGTCTGCTCAAAGGAGGTGTGAAGGGTGCTGTGTAGTTTCAGCGTGCCATAATATGCAATGTTTTGCAAGTCATTGCTACTAGGTTGGATACAATTGCTTCCAGGTTGGAGGCCATCGCTACTAGGTTGGAGGCAATTGCAACTAAGTTGGAATTAGGTTGGAGGCAACTGCTACTACGTTGCTACTAGGTTGGAGGCAATTGCTACCAGGTTGAAGGCAATTGCTATTGGGTTGGAGGCCATCGTTACTAGGTTAGGGGCCATTACTATGTTGGAGGCCATTGCCATTAGGAGGCCATCGCTACTAGGTTGGAGGCAATTGCTACTAGGTTGCAGGCCATTGCTATTAGGTTGCAGGCCGCTGCTATAAGGTCGGAGGCCATCGCTATTGGGT